TTATCATGCCTCAGCCTCCTGAGTAGCTGGGATTATAGACACGACACCATGCCCAGCTAATTTTTATATTTTTAGTAGAAATGGGGTTTCTCCATGTTGCCCAGGCTGGTCTTGAACTCCTGACCTCAAGTGATCTGCCCACCTCCGTCTCCCAAAATGCTGGGATTACAGGTATGAGCCACCGTGCCCTGCCATTAACTGCATTTTACAAATAAGGCAACTGAGGCAGAGAAGATAAGTGACTTGCTCAGGGTTATAAACCACCAAGTGGTAGAGTCAGGATTCAAACTCAGGTAGTCTGGACCCAGCGCCAGCATGCTTAATCACTGAACTCTACTGTCTCCCCACATGACCCTGGCTGAGTGCCCAGCAGAGGGCGTGGACCCCGTGAGTAATCTGGAAACACTTTTCCTTCTTCCTCTTTGCCTGTTTAAAAGTTCTTCAGGGACTGTTATTGACCGAAGAGCAGTCACCCAATTTAGAAATTCCTTAGCCACCCTCCTGGCCTTCTGCTGCCTGGGGACAAGTTTTCTTTCTTTCCTTTTTGCTTTTCCCCCCTTTTCTAAGTTGTTGGTAAAGAGGCACGTTTTCGTTTCTTTTTAAAAATTTTTTTGTGAGACAGAGTCTTGCTCTGTTGCCCAGGCTTGAGTGCAGTGGGGAAATCTCGGCTCACTACAAACTCCATCTCTCGGTTTCAAGCGATTGCCTGCCTCAGCCTCCCAAGTAGCTGGGATTACAGGCGCCCGCCACTACGTCTGGTTAATTTTTGTATTTTTTAGTAGAGATGGGGTTTCACCAGGTTGGCCAGGCTGATTTTGAACTCCCACCCTCGAGTGATCCAGCTACTTCGGCCTCCCAAAGTGCTGGGATTACAGACATGAGCCACTGCGCCCGGCGGAGACGAGTTTTCCAATGGACCTCAGAGCCTGTTGTAAAGGTTATACTCAGCCGTAGCAACCAGTCTGCAGCACTGCGTGACTTTATTCCTTCCAGGAAGGTTATAATCACATGCTTTGTTCCTCTCTTGGCATTGTCCTCAGGCCACTAATGAGAGGGTCCCCAGAGAAACTATGCCCCAACTGAGAGCTACCCTGCCACCAGGGTCATGGGAAGGAGGTGTGTGTGTTGCCTATGGCACATATCAAACTACCTACCTCTACTGGGTTGCATTTTGTCTCCACGGAATTCATGCCCTTCTGAACCCTGTGAATGAGACCTCATTTGGAAACAGGGGCTTTGCAGATATAATCCAGTTAAGATAAGGTCATAGTGGAGTAGAGTGAGCCCTAAACCCAATACATCTGTTGTCCTTATAAGAAGAGAGAAATTAAGCCGGGCCCAGTAGTTCATGCCTGTAATCCCAGCACTTTGGGAGGCTGAGGCGGGTGGATCACCTGAGGTCAGGAGTTTGAGACCAGCCTGGCCAACAAGGTGAAATCCCATCTCTACTAAAAACACAAAAATTAGCCAGCCATGGTGTCATGCACCTGCAATCCCAGCTACTCAGGAGGTTGAGGCAGGAGAATTGCTTGAACCCAGGAGGCAGAGGTTGCAGTGAGCCAAGATGGTGCCATTACACTTCAGTCTGGGTGACAGAGAGAGACTCCATCTCAAGACCGAAAAAAAAAAAAAAAAAAAGAGAGATCTCAAGACCAGAAAAAAAAAGAGAAAAATTTTGGCCGGTTGCAGTGGTTCATGCCTGCAAACCCAGCACTTTGAGAGGTCAAGATGGGAGGATTGCTTGAGACCAGGAGTTCAAGACTAGCCTGGGCAACATGGCAAAACCCCATCTCTACAAAAAATATAAAAATTAGCCAGGTGGTAGTCACAGCTACCTAGGGGGCTGAGGCAAGAGGATTGCTTGAACCTGGGAGGCTGAGGCTGCAGTGGGCCAAGACTATGCCACTGCACTCCAGCCTGTGTGACAAAGTGTGACTTTGTCTCAAAAAAAAAAAGGCTGAGCACCATGGCTCATGCCTCTAATCCCAACACTCTGGGAGGCTGAGGCAGGAAGATTGCATGAGGTCAGGAGTTTGAGACCAGCCTAGCCAACATGGTAAACATTGTGTCTACTAAAAATGCAAAAAAAAAAAAAAAAATTAGCTGACTGTGGTGGTGGGCGCCTATAATCCCAGCTACTCAGGAGGCTGAAGCAGGAGAATAGCTTGAACCCAGAAGGCAGAGGTTGCTGTGAGCTGAGATTGTGCTGCTGCACTCCAGCCTGGGTGACAGAGTGAGACTCCGTCTCAAAAAATATATATATAAATAAAAATTAAAATTAAAAAATCAGCCAGGCATGGTGGCACATGCCCCTCCATCCTCTCCATAGTCCTAACTACTCAGGAGGCTGAGGTGGGAGGATCCCTTGAGCCCAGGAATTCAAAGTTACACTTGAGCTATGGTCATGCTACCGCAATCAAGTCTGGACAACAAAGAAAGACGATCTCTGTAAACAAACAAACAAACAACCCCCCCCCCCAAAAAAAAACAAAAAACAAAAAAGGAGGGAAATTTGGTCACAGCCACACAGGGAGAACACTATGTAATGCTGGAGGCATAGACTGGAACAATTAGAATGATGCATCCAAAAGCCAAGGAATACCAAGGATTGCCAGCAACCATGGGAAGCTAGGAAGAGGCAGAAAGAATTCTTTCCTAGAGCCTTCAGAAGTAGGGCAGCACTGCCAACAACTTGATTTCAGACTTGTGAACTCCAGAACTATTAGAGAACAAATTTCTCTTGTTTTAAGCTTCCCAGTTTGTGATAGTTTGTTATGGCAGTCCTAGGAATCTAACACATCCTAAATCTAGAGGTGTAAAGCAAAAGGATTTCTTAGATCTCAATTCCATGGGTTGGCTGGGCTCAGTTGGGTGGTTCTTCTGCTCCATGTGGTGTCAGCTAGGAGCTGGGCTGGGGGCTCACTCACAAAATAGGCAGTTGGTTCTGGCTGTTTGCTGGGATACCTTAGCTCTCTTCCATGTGCCCTCTGATCTCCACATCACCTTTCTAACAGGGTGGCCCAGAGTTCTTTACATGACAGCTAGCTTTGGAGGTAGAAACAGAGGACAGTGGAAACAGAAGCTGCAAGGCCTGTTGAGGCCTAGGCAGAGAAGTCCCAGAACACTTATTTCCAATGCATTCTATTGGCCAAAGCAGGTCACATGGCCCATCTACAGTCAAGGAAAGGGAAAATACACTCCACTTTTTTTTTTTTTTTTTTTTTTTTTTTAAAGAGATGGGATCCTGCTATCTCATTCAGGCTGTAGTGTAGTGGCACAATCGCAGCTCACTACATCACCAAACTCCTGGGCTCCAGAGATCCCCCTACCTTGGGACCCCATAGACTCCACCCTTTATAGGAGGTGTGACAGACAATACAAAAGGGCATCTGTGGTGGGAGAGATGGTTATGGACATCTTTGGAAGCAACCTACCAGAGTGTGTGAATGTTTTGGGGGAGGCCTCAGCCAAGGACCCCAGAGGTGTGGTCCTTGTTGATGGGGCTGCTGACAAGGCTAGAATTCCTCTGTCTGAGCAGGAACCCCCAGACCCATAAGCTGCAGGCTCAGCTCAGCCATCAACTCACTGGGTGACCTCAAGCCAGTCCCTCATTCACTGAATGATAATTCATTTAACACCTACTGTGTGCCAGGCCTAGAGCTAGGCACTGGGGCCCTGGTAGGAACAGATCAGGTCTCCATGGAGCTTTCAGTGCAATAGAAGAAAAAAGGCCAGGTGCTGTGGGTCACATCTATAATCCCAGCACTTCAGGAGGTCAAGGAGGGTGGATCACTGGAGGTCAGGGGTTTGAGACCAGCTTGGCCAACATGGTAAAACTCCATCTCTACTAAAAATACAAAAATTAACCAGGAGTGGTAGCGTGCACCTGGCTGTAGTCCCAACTCAGGTAGACAGACAGGAGAACCCAGGCAGAGGCAGGAGAATTGCTTAAACTGGGGAGGTGGAGATTGCAGTGAGCCAGGATCATGCCACTGCCCTTGAGTCTGGGTGACAGAGTGAGATTCCATCTTAAAAAAGAGAAAAAAAAAGAGAAAGAAAGAATAAAGCACAAAGCTAGACAAACTGGTCAGAGTGTGACAGGTGGAACGGCCGGGAGTTGGGCTAGAGATTCTCTGAGGATGAAGAGGCTGGGAGGTTGGAGGGTAGCGTCCCGGAGGGTGAGAAGGCCTGTCTCATTCTGGGCCCCCTTTTCCTCCTCCAGACATTGAGAGGTGGGTCAGAGCTATGAATTTCAATTCCATTCTCTGGAGTTCTAGGGCTCCCCAGAGGCACCTGAGGGACTGCTGCAGAAGAGGCTGAGCAGGGCATCTGAAGAGTATGCCCGGCCGGGCTCAAGGCTTCGGGTGGGCTCCGACTGTCCAGTTTCCCAGCCGGGCACCCTAGGCTCCCTGGAACAAGATTTTCCCAGCGGCCCCCTTGTTTCTGAATGGCCCTGATGGGACCTGGTCTCTGGGGAAATGGGGAAGCCACGCCTCTGTCTGCTGGACAACGCCCCCCCCCGCCTCAGAACAGATTGTGGACCAGGGTGCTTAGCTGCTCCCTCGCCTTTGACCTTGGGCTTGCTTGAGCCTGCAGAGCCCCAGAGGCCCCGCAAGAAACGCCAGTGTCTCTTGAAGAGCTCAGGCTTTTTGGGGTCAGACACTCCCCTTCTGTGTGGCCCTGAAGCAAGCCCCTTGGCCTCTCTGAGCTTCAGAAGGAGCCTCACCCCAGTGGGGTGAGTACAGAGGCAGGACACTGAGAGCCAGATCCTCTGAAGCTGGCCTTGAGGTCAGCACAGGGTGGGTGCAATCCCTCTGGGAAGAAAGGTCCAGTGAAGTGGCAGGAAAGGCCCAGCCTGCTGGGGAACCCACCCTGTCCCAGTCCCTGGTGCCTCTGCCCAACCATTCTAGGACGCTCTGATCTTAGCCTGCCTCACAGGAGTCGGCAGGGGTGGGGTGCAGTGTCTGAGCCAGCCAGTTTACCACCGGGCAATGGTCGGCTTTTTCTCAGCATCTTTATTACTGTGTTCAATTCCAGTGCTGGACAGGGGATGGGGCAGGGTGTGGCCAGAGATGCCAAAAGCAAGAATCTCTGGGCCTCAATTTCCCCCTCTGTCACATACGGAGGGAAGGCTTCCCCTGCTGCCTTCATCAGAACACCAGGAGGTTTAGAGATTTTCAGCACAGGGTGCCCAGTTCTGAGGGCCGCCCAGCGGTGGTCCTTGCCCCAGGGGGCTCACGATCTGGGAGGGAGACCTGTGCCCTGGCCCCCCATCAGTAGCTGACAAGAAGGGCAGTTGGGTCATGGCCCAGTGACCAGGCAGCATCCGTGAGCCTCTCAGCCATGGGTCTGGCTTCACCAAGCTCCGTCCTGGAAGTTGACGGCCGGTCTCGTGCGGGGCAGCAGCGTCCACAGCCTCAATGCTGGGCAGGCTCCTTCTAAACCTTCATAGAATCTTAGTCCAAGGCCCTTACCCAAGCCCAGAGGGCAGAGAGCTGAACCCCCTTCTTTTGGGCCCTGCTGGAGTCTTCGAAGAGAGCTAGCTGCTGGGGTGGGAAGGCCAGAGCTAAGAGGGGCAGCCACATGGGACTCCAGTGAGCTGGTGGCAGAAGCCTCGTTGGGCCACCCAGCCATAGTTCAGAGAGCTGTGAAGATAGGTAGGTCAGCAGACACGGCAGGCTGGTCCGGGCACAGCAGGGGGACCACGATGGCTTTCAGCATCTTTAGTTGATGGTGCCCAGTGTGGGCTACGGGGAGGCCGGCTGACTCAGAGTCACGCTGGGGAAGATGTTGACAAAGCTTTCCCACCTTCTCCTTACCTGCTGGAAGACAGAGGAGGGGGAGGTCCCCCGGGCTGTGGTGGGCTCAGCTGTTGTTCCACCCACAGCCACGAGGTGGGGGTAGACCCCAGGGAGAGAAACACCACTCATGCACGACCCTTTCTCTTAGAGGAAGGAGGCAGGGACCAGAGGCCGGCAGCTCCTCACAAAGGGGTCCGATGTCCCCTTTTCCCTGGGGTGAGAGGGTCACACGGTGTACTTCCCGGGAAGTTGTACTGGCTGAGCTCCCTGCCTCCTGCTCCATTCCCCTGTCCAACATACTGTCAGATTAATCAGCTAAAAACAGCTCTTACTATATTACCCTCCTCCTCTGTAACCTTCAGTGGCTCCCCAGCGCCTATGGGATAAATCCCAAATGCCTTCAGGGCCGTCTGAAATACGGCTCTGGGGTACCTCTCTCTGCACCCTCATCTCCAGGCCATTCGGTTGTCATCTGAGTACACAGCCCCACATGGCTCTCCCTCTGAACCTTTGCTGCCCTGAAATCCCCACCCACCTGCTGTGGCACCCTCCATCCTTCAGCCCGCAGCCATACCTGTTGGTACCACCTCAGCCACCGCCGGCTGCCTCCTCGCTGGGCTTGGATCAGCTGCTCTGTATCCCCCAGGCTACCCGGCAGCTGCTCCTGAGCAGCGGCATCTGGCCCTTCTGTGCCTCTGTCAAGGCCCTGGGACCTGGACTTCTCACGCCCCTCTCTGAGGCTCAGCGCCCGGCGGAATTGGCCCTCCAGCGGCCTCCCCCAGGGTTCCTGTAGCTTTGCATAGGAGGGTCGGGGCCCTCGAAAGGACTGGCTTCGCAGCCCTGGTCCCATAGCTCCAGAGGCTGCAGGCACAAGATGCTTCCACCCTCAGCAAGACACTGGCTCTCTGAGGTGTCCCAGTGCCTCCACCCATCGGACAAGAGATCAGCTGGGGACAAAGGTTGGTGCTGCTGAGGTGGCTTTCATAAATCAAAGGGCAGGCCGCAAGGCCAAGCATCCCTGAGTCACCCCACCACTGCCACCCCACCTTCTGAGTCACGGAGTGAAGGCCGGCCAGGTGCAGTGGCTCGTGCCTGTAATCCCAGCACTTTGGGAGGCTGAGGTGGATGGATCACAAGGTCAAGAGTTCGAGACCATCCTGGCCAACATGGTGAAACCCTGTCTCTACTAAAAATACAAAAATCAGCTGGACGTGGTGGCGTGCGCCTGTAATCCCAGCTACTTGGGAGGCTGAAGCAGGAGAATCAAATGAACCCAGGAGGCAGAGGTTGCAGCGAGCCAAGATCGGGCCATTGCATACCAGCCTGGGCGACAGAGTGAGACTCCCATCTCAAAAAAAAAAAAAAAAAAAGGGCCAGGCACAGTGGCTCACACCTGTAATCCCAGCACTTTGGGAGGCCAAGGTGGGTGGATCACCAGGTGAGGAGATTGAGACTGTTCTGGCCAACATGGTGAAACCCCGTCTCTACTAAAAATACAAAAAAATTAGCTGGGTGTGGTGGCACAAGCCTGTAGTCCCAGCTACTCAGGAGGCTGAGGCAGGAAAATTGCTTGAACCCAGGAGGCGGAAGTTGCAGTGAGCCGAGATCGCGCCACTGCACTCCAGCCTGTGCAGCAATGCAAGACTCTGTCTCAGAAAAAAAAAAAGAAACAGGATGGCTCCAGGCTGGATTTTTTCCAGGCCCAGTGCTGCCCCTAACCTCACAGCAGCACAGCACAATGCTTGAGCACTCAAGCTCTGAGGACCTTGGGTAAATTGTGGCTTCATTCCTTGCAATTGTGTGACCTTGGGCACATCTTTCTCCTTCATCTGTAACAGGGACAAGTAAGGTGAGTAATTGCTGTGTGTATTACATGTGATCCACAGGCTTGGCACACAGCAAGGCCTCAAACAAAGTGAGTTGGTGGTTGTGTTTGTCCAGTCTCCTGTGGCTATAAAGAAATACCTGAGGCTGGGTGCAGTGGCTCACACTTGTAATCTCAGCACTTTGGGAGGCTGAGGCAGGCGGATCATAAGGTCAGGAGTTCGAGACCAGCCTGGCCAACATGATGAAACCCCGTCTCTACTGAAAAAATACAAAAATAAGCCAGGCATGGTGGTGTGTGCCTGTTATCCCAACTACCTGGGAGACTGAGGCAGGAAGGAGAATTGTTTGAACCCAGGAGGCAGAGGTTGCAGTGAGCCGAGATCACACCACGGCACTCCCGCCTGAGTGATAGAGCAAGATTCCATCTCAAAACAAAATAAAACAAAAAAAATTAGCCAGGCATGGTGGCGGGTGCCTGTAATCTCAGCTATGCTGGAGGCTAAGACAGGAGAATTGCTTGAACCCAGGAAGCAGAGGTTGCAGTGAGCTGAGATTGTGCCACTACACTCCAGCCTGGGCAAGACAGCAAGACTCTGTCTCAAGAAAAAAATAATAAGAATGAAAATAAGAAATACCTGAGACTGGGTAATTTATAAAGACAAGAAGTGTAATTGGCTATGGTCCTGCAGGCTGTACAGGAAGCATAGCGGCTTCTGCTGCTGGGGAGGCCTCAGGAAGCTTCCAACCACAGTGGAAGGCAACTGGGAGTGAGGCATCTTGCATGATGGGAGCAGGAGCAAGAGAGAACGCAGCGGAAGGTACTGGACACTTTTTTCTTTTCTTTTCTTTTCTTTTCTTTTTATGAGACAGAGTCGCACTCTGTCACCCAGGCTAGAGTGCAGTGGTGTGATCTCAGCTCACTGCAACCTCCACCTCCCAGGTTCAAGTAACTTTCATGCCTCAGCCTCCCAAGTAGCTGGAACTATGGGTGCCCACTGCCACGACCAGCTAATTTTTTGTATTTTTGGTAGAGACAGTGTCTTGCTATGTTCCCCAGGCTGGTCTTGAACTCCTGGCCTCAAGTGACCTCTGCCCACCTTGGTCTCCCGTAGCGCTGATACTACAGGCATGAGCCACCATGCCTGGCCTACAAACTTTTAAACAACCAGATCTCACAAGAACTCACTCACTATTATGAAAACAGCACCAAGGGGATGGGGCTAAACCATTTATGAGCATCCAACCCCATGATCCAACCACTTCCAACACTGGGGACTTCAATTCAACATAAAGTTTGGTGGGGACACAAATCCAAACCATATCAGTGGAATTCACTGCCATAGGCAAATACTTTTCCCTCTCGGCCAGTCTCATCTGTAACATGGGTCGTTCCTTTTTTTCTCTTTTTCTTTTCTTTTATTATTATTTTTTGAGACAGAGTTTGACTCTTGCCCAGGCTGGACTGCAATGGTGTGATCTTGGCTCACTGCAACCTCCATCTCTCAGGTCCAAGTGATTCTCCTGCCTCAGCCTCCCAAGTAGCTGGGATTGTAGGCATGCGCCACCACGCCTGGCTAATTTTGTATTTTTAGTAGAGATGGGTTTTCTCCATGTTGGTCAGGCTGGTCTTTAACTCCCAACCTCAGGTGATCTGCCCGCCTCATTCGCCCAAAGTGCTGGGAGTACAGACGTGAGCCACTGCACTCGGCTCTTTTTTTTTTTTTTTTTTGAGACGGAGTTTCGCTCTTGTTACCCAGGCTGGAGTGCAATGGCGCGATCTCGGCTCACCGCAACCTCCCCCTCCTGGGTTCAGGCAATTCTCCTGCCTCAGCCTCCTGAGTAGCTGGGATTACAGGCACGTGCCACCATGCCCAGCTAATTTTTTGTATCTTTAGTAGAGATGGGGTTTCACCATGTTGACCAGGATGGTCTCGATCTCTTGACCTCGTGATCCACCCGCCTCGGCCTCCCAAAGTGCTGGGATTACAGGCTTGAGCCACCGCGCCCGGCTCACTCGGCTCTTTAAAAATTTTTTTTTATTTGAGACTGAGTCTTGCTCTGTCACCCAGGCTGGAATGCAGTGGTGCAATTTCAGCTCACTGCAACCTCTGCCTCCTGAGTTCAAGTGATTCTCCTGCCTCAGCCTCCCAGGTAGCTGGGATTACAGGCATATGCCACCATGCCCAACGTTTTGGGTTTTTCTTGTTGTTGTTTTTTTGTTTTTTTGTTTTTTGTTTTTTAGTAGAGATGGGGTTTCACCATGTTGGCCAGGCTGGTCTCGAACTCCCGACCTCAGGTGATCTGAACACCTCGGCCTCTCAAAGTGCTGGGGTTATAGGCATGAGCCACTGTGCCTGGCCCTTTTTTTATTTTTTTTGAGATGGATTTTTGCTCTGTTATCCAGGCTGGAGTGCAATGGTGCGATCTTAGCTCGCTGCAATCTCTGCCTCCCGGGTTCAAGAAATTCTCCTGCCTCCGCCTCCCAAGTAGCTGGGATTATAGGCGCATGCCACCACACCCAGCTAATTTTTGTATTTTTAGTAGAGATAGAGTTTCACCATGTTGGCCTGGCTGTCTGGCACTCCCAGCCTCGTGATCCACCCACCTCGGCCTCCCAAGGCACTGGGATTACAGGCGTGAGGCACTGTACCTGGCCTGTAAAATGGGCTGTTTCAAAAATAAAATGAAATAATGAGTGTGGATGCTTCTAAAGGTGAGACTACTAGCAGCGACTATTTCTCCCAAGACATGAGGAAGAGATGGAGGTCTGGGGCTGGGCCAGCAGATTCCTCAGAATGTTTGTTTGGTTTTTTGAGACAAGGTCTCACTCTGTTGTCAGGCTGGAGTGCAGTAGCATGATCTCAGCTCACTGCAGCCTTGACCTCCCAGGCTCAAGTAATCCTCCCACCTCAGCCTCCTGAGTAGCTGGGACTACATGTATGTGCCACCATGCCTGGCTAAGTTTTGTTATTTTTTTGTAGAGACGGAGTTTCATCATGTTACCCAGGCTGGTTTCAAACTCCTGAGCTAAAGCAATCTGTCCATCTCGGCCTCCCAAAATGCTGGGATTACAGGTGTGAGCCACCACGCTCGGGCTCAGAATGGTAGAATTTGAGTGCTGAAGGGACCTCACAACATCTGTTCTATGCTCCTTTTTGTTTTATTTTTTATTATTTATTTCTTTGTTTATTTTAGAGATAAGGTTTCTCTATGTTGCTTAAGCTGGTCACAAACTCCCGGTCTCAAGTGATCCTCCTGTCTCAGCCTCCTGAATAGCTGGAATTACAGGCACAAGCCACCAGGCCCAGCTCCTTTTTATTAAAATAAAAGCCACCTGTTTTGAGTCCATCCCTGCACAGATTTCATTTAAACCTCATGCTAGTCCTATGGTGTGGGGATTGTTATCTCATTTTATAGATCAGAAAACTGAGGCTCAGGGAGACTAAGCACCTGGCTAGAGAGCATGCCCACTAAGTGGCAGAGCTGGTCAGTTGCCCTGGTCAGCCGGGCTCCAAAACCCATGCTTCAATCACCCAGCTCCCGCTATCCTGCCTCCTCCATGTTTAGGATGGTGCGGAGGGCACCCCTATCCAGGGTCAGGGAAGGGCTGGCTACAGCTCTTGGCTCACACTAGCCTTGCCCCCTGGGGCCTAGCCTTGCCCTCGTTCCTTCTGCTCAGAGTTTCTGAAACTTCCTTGGGTGAAGGGTTGCTTAAAATCTGCCAGGCTCGGCTCCCAGAGGAGCTAAGACAGGGCCAGTGCGAAGAGAATAGAAAAAAGGAGCCTTCACCCTCTGCCCCAGCCTATCCCAAACACTGACTCTGATTTGTACCCAGGCCTTTTTATTTCAACCCTGACAACACTCCAAAGGTCAATCCTGACCCTGGTGAAAAGGCAACATAATCATTACACAATGTTCAATGCCCTTACTTCAGCACACATTGTCAAATCAAATCCCCACTCTCACAAAGGTCTGAGCCCAGGAAGAGCTTGCTGACTCACAGACTTTTGAGATGAGGTGGGATGAATCACTCGCTCTTGCATCAAACACATAGCTGTGGAGTGCCCTCTTGCCAAGCGTGGTCTTAAAACAATTTCCCAAATCCA